TTTTTTATAGTATATTTAATAATATAACATTTAAAAATTAAGTATTTAAATTTTATATTGTACAACTAAAAATCGATAAAAAAATCAGAAAAATAAAATAATATTTAACCATTAACCAAAATAATAATAAATAATTTAGTATATAATATACACACATGTGTATATGTGTATGATTCAATGTTGCAGGTAAACGAGTAGGGTAATCGGGTCGGGTAATGGGTTTGTAAGAATCTCATACTCAACGGGCTAGACAACATACTTAATGTGTATAGCTTTGGTTAAAACGTCTAAGAAATTGTGGAACTCTTTAGAAACAAAGTACAAAGAAGAACACACCGACACTAAAGAAATTCTTGTCGATAAATTCCTTAAGTAAAGATGGTTGATACCGAGTTGGTGATCAATTGAATTGAAGAGATTTAAATAATCATTCATGATATGTTGGCCAATGGATTGATTGTGGACGAAGCCAGTGACGACAATTGTTGAAAAATTGTCTCTTTTGTAAATGGACTTCAAGGGCTATCTCATACTTAAACACAAAGGATAAAAAATTGAGGATGTGATAGTTCAACTTCGGATATGAGAAGTTGGCCGAAAATTCGATGTAAGGGTCAAAATGGAGAGAGATATAGGTTAAGGCAAATTTTCCTGAACCGAGCTCTTGTAAGAAGTGCAAAATTGCTTATAATGGCAACCCTAATTGGAAAGCCAAGAAATCCAAGGGAAGTTGTTACAATAGTGACAAACCGAATACCTTGCCAAATATTACCAACTTCTGAAGAGTGGTAGAGGATAGTGCAAATTTTCAAGGACAAGATAAGATTTTTAAAGCTCAACCTTTTCGCCGTGGTTCGAGTACATATTTAATTAAAACTCCACATTAATAGCGGATAGTGACGATAGAAACTCGATCCTTAAGCGCTTATAACTAATATTTCGTCCTACAACCCAAACAACAAAAGGAAGTATATGTGTGAACTCCTTGACTTCATGTGTCGAAAGTTTGAAAATTTGTGTAAATCTACTTAAAGTTTGGAAATTTGTTTTGCCCATATTTATATACATATAATCGGACTATCTCACCTACCAAATGTGTGTGCCAAGATTTCATGATAAGATCACGTACCCACAGAAATAAATAAAAATAAAAAATAAATAAGTGTCCTTAGTTTGCCTATCCAATTTAAGTGATTATATAGTGATTTTTACGAAAGAAAATTAATGGCTTGACTAATAATTTTAATTAAATTATCGTGGTTCTTGGTTCTAATACGGCTATGAGGTTTTAATTGATTTATAGGAAGTGAACAAAAGAATTCCTATCAATTGAATAGAAAATTTTAGCATTGATGTTCTAATTTGATAATTAACCTATATTATTTTTGTTCAATTATAAATCATTATCCTTAATTAAGAAATTTTATTTTTCACATAATATTATATGATTGCAAATAAAGGCAAATACTTCAAAATAGAATATTATCACATTTAATATTGAAATGTTCCTTATTAGGCTTAATNAATAATAATAATAATAATAATAATAATAATAATAATAATAATAATAACTAATAACACTATATAGCAATAAATTTTAGAATAAAATAATAATTGAGTATTATGATGAATAAAATTGAATAAAATTATTATTTTTATATTAAAAAATAATATGTGTTATAATATAATTTATATTAATATAAATAGGTCCGCGGGCTGACATATTTTTAAATTAAAGTTTAAAAAAAATTTAAGTAACAAGCTAGCCAGTGCAAATGTTCACTAGTTAGTTTGTAAGTGGTATTATTTTATTGCTTCTTGATCCTGAGTGCGGTCCAGAGTCCAACCTCTTGGGTACCGGAGGTCGGAATTTCTCTCTACCTTGTTCTTTCTTCTCTGTCTCCGCCCCTAACTGGTTTGCGTCTGAGGGGCCGATCTTATTGTCGTTATGGCGAGAAGCCGACCCCGAGTTGATCGTGATCCTGCCTTGATCAATTTCTATCGTTTCGGTAAATCTTCAATCCCAGACCGCCCGCCGTTCAGACGTCTAATACCAGGGAGCCTCAAAACTCTGCTCTTGGGGGTCCTTAATTGTCGGCTAAATCGTTTTGTTCGGGGTGCTTAAGCTTTGGACCCATATGTTCCAAATGCTGATTGACAGTTTTTAATGTGGACATGCCTCCCCTGCAAGTCTATGAATCGTAGGTCTACAGGGTTGTTGGGCGCGTCCCATCGATCATCATTAGCCTGCACGTGGTATTATTTTATTGCTTCTTGATCCTGAGTGTGCTTCGGAGTCCTTCCTCTTGAGTACCGGAGATTGGACTTTTTCTCTATCTTGTTTGTTTCTCTCTGTTTTCCGCCCCTAAGTGGTTTGCGTCCGAGGGGCCGATCTTATTGTTGTTGTAATGAGAAGTGGCCTGAGCGTTTTGATCATGATTTTGCCATGCTCAATTTCTGTCGCTTCTATAAATCTTCGGACGCGAGTTGCCCGTTGTTCGGGAGTCTGATAACAAAGAGCCGACCTGAACTCTGCTCTTGAGGGTCCTTAATTGTCTACCAAATCGTTTTTTCAATGTGTTTAAGCTTTGAGCCCATGTTTTCCAACTCGTATATCAACAAAACCGATGTCACAAGTTACCCTTGTTACATCGGTTTGGCATAACCAATGTCACACATTGAACTCTTACGACGATTTTCAAAATAACCGATGTAACAATCACAGTGTTAAATCAATTTGGCATGACCCATGTCACACTTTGTACTCTTACCTCAGTTATTAGAATAACTGATGTAGTAAGTCACCACTTTACATCACTTTTTCAAAAGACCGATGTAAAAACTATCTATTATAACGATTATGTTTAATTGTACAACATCTTTTACCTGTGAATCTAAAAATAAATTTTATCTAAAAATAAAATATTACTAAACGATAATTAACATTTATACATTCAACCTAGACCTCAGCGATTGCTGCGTGTGAGATGTGTGGTGCTACTGACGAGACGAGTTTACATTACCTAAGGGACTGTAGCCACACTACACTAACATGGCGTCGACTAATTCCATATCAGCAACATACTTCCTTTTTCAACGTAGACCTCAGCGATTGGGTGTACCAAAATTACGAAACGGATTGATATTCATGTGGATAATTGGAGCTAGTTGTTTAGTGTTACCTTGTGGAAGCTATGGAGGGATAGAAATGCTTTCATCTTTGAAAACCATGGTTTTAATGTCCAAGGGATGGTGGCGGAAATTGGTAGGCAAGTTGAGGGAATTAACTTTGCAATCCTCACAAAAAACAAAATAGGAGCGGCGAATATGTGCATGGAGCAAAGGTGGCTTTCATGGTCTAAGCCACCAGCGGGTTTCGATAAAATAAATTCAGACGGTGCTTTCAATCGCCAAACAGGGATGACATTGGCTGGAGGCTTGCTGCGTGATGAATGGAGCAAATGGATTTCCGGTTTTGTGATGAATATCGGGTTTTGTTCAATCATGGGTGTGAAGTTATAGGGTACATTCTAGGGTTTAAAGTTGGCTTGGGACAAAGGTCACCGCATGGTGGTAGCGGAAGTCGATAATAGCAGCGTAGCGATGGTAGTGTTGCAAGATGCGGTTCCAGCCAAGGTACATAGTAGTATTATTTTAGGTGTTCGAGAGTTGTTGGCAAGGGTTTGTAGAATAGAGGTTCGGTATATACATCGAGAAGAGAATTTTGCAGCGTCAATGGCCTCATCAATGCCGAGTGGGCTTCACATCCTTGATGACCCTCCCACGGGGTGAAACCATGGTTAGAACACGATACCTTAGGGGTTACTTTGTAGTTGTCTAAGGCTTTCGCCTCCTATTTTGCACANATAATCACCAATATGATACATGTAAAAACTACTATCAAACATAATATTTCAACAAGACCAAATTATAAAAATAGTTATCAAATGCACTATACCAACAATAGTCATCAGCCACGATTTGCCATAAAGTTCAAAATCGCCAAAAACATAAGAAAATTCAAAGTCTATCTTTCTAGTGATCTCCAGAAAGTATTTCCAACGCCTCTTTATATCCTCAATTTCCTTGTTTGAATATGGTTCATTAATGCTTAATATCTACATGATACACATAGATATGTTCTGAAAAAACTCATGTGTTGGGAGATTACTACTGCATCCTTTCATGAGTAAGAATATAAAATATATAAAATACATTATAGTTTTGCTTTACCTGATATTGTAACAATAGACAAACAAATAAAAAAGTATACCAAATAAATATGTTTATGTTATTTTGAATTGGCAGAGAACACTGGGAAAGAATATTTATTTCTATCATGCAGATATTAAGCATTGATGAGCCATATTCAAAAGAGAAAATTGAAGATATAAAGAGGCATTGGACGAAATACTTTCTGGAGGTCACTTCATTATGAAAATATTGTTGAGTTTTCTTATGTTTTGGGCGATTTTGAACATTATGACAAATTGTGGTTGATGACTATTGTTGGTAGCAAGGATGCACCCGTAATCTCCTTCGGCGATTATTGTCCCAATATACACATGTTTCTCTTGTTTACTGCTTGAATTTTGAGCGGGCACATCAATCCACTTTTTTTCTTTCATGGTTTCTTTCAGCACATTGTAGAGATGAGATACCTATTGTAACTTCAAAAAAATAAGTAAATAATTGTAGGAGCAATTATAATACATAATATCTAAAACATACTACACTATTGAAGATTTTTTATCAAGCGGTTAATTCATGCTCCTCATACTCCATCACAATCTAGAATCCATACAAGTAAAGATATAAACGGTGAACAAACCAAGATGACCCCATTCTAAAACAACAAGAAAGGAAAATAGTAAATTACATAACATAGCAATTATAGGTACCACACACCTGTTGAGTGGTCACATTCCAAACAGTGATTATGCCTTCATAGTCACTACTAGCAATGTGATGTTTTGTATATATGTTCTAGCTTACACAGCTTAGTTTGATCGTGTTGACATTTCTGCAATAGGGAACTGCGCATCGGCTGGTCCATCAAGTACCTGAACAGTTATCATTCATGGATTAGGAATGTGCTGCAAGAAAATCTAAGGTAATAATTTTATTGTCTTACCAAAAAATAACCTTAAATATGTACTGAAGCATCGAATAGACGTTTGATAGTCACGGCGATCTTTAGTCCATTGTACGACAAATAAAATGTTTTGCAACTCCAAAACCTATTCTACATATGGAATGATTAAAGACAGATTGCAGAGAAATGTAACTCGTGCTTATACAACGACTAAGGAGATTGTACAATTATAGCTTGCGCTTAGAACTATCCAATGCTTTTCTACAAGAACATGCCAAATATACAAAGACCTGAAGCAATTCCAAGCACATACCGTTGCAAACTCGAAAGTCTTGATGCAACGTGATACACCAGGTGTAGCATATAATTCATCACCTCGGTCAAACTCAATGCTGCAAGAACAGGAAAGTAACAATCAGAAGATCAACATCTCTGTAAGTAAACTGAAAACAATACCACATATGCAAGAGGAAAACATCAAGAATTGTAAATTACAATCGGTCTCTTGTGATTCTATAGTAAAGGATTAGACCATTCCTTTTTTTTTTTCCAATTTAAAGCTGCTAAGCAATCTCAGTCTCGATTTCATGACAACATTAGACCAATGAAGGAAAATAATCTGAATATTCTCAAGTTTCAGTTTATGACAAAACATATTGATTCAATACTAGCGCTAGTAAAACAGAAGAAATACTGGCAACCACAACACAACATGAGGATGGACTAACTAAGAATGAGCCTCCACTGTCATCATTATCTAAGACAAACTACCAAATCTAGAGATATTTTCACCGACTCCTGCTAACACACTCCTCACAAACAAGGTTTCGATCAATTGTTAGGAGTTTAAGCAAATAGTAAAACAATCTAAAATTCCAGCCGTTTGCCGATAGTTGCTCTAACAATAAGAATTAAGTGACATTCAAATTCAAGCAATATACGTAGCAATAGTTGCTCTAACAATAAGAATTAAGTGACATTCAATTTGAAGCAATATACGTAGCAAAGCGAACTTCCCTTAATATTATATTAGCTGAGTGAAATAAATCTTCATGTGCCAACTAACAATTCACCAAAGTCAATTAACAAGTGATAAAATTAGAGAAAAATTAAGGATTCTGTTCAAGGAAATGTACCCATATCTTGTGAAAGTCTGACAGCACAGAATTAAACTCCTCAAGCCCTCCAGAGAAGGCTTCTCTGTTAAGACTATGTAAATCATGTTCAGTCATTTCACTAGCCCAATATCGCCGTCTTTTCAAGTAATACTCTTGCAGTTCGTTGAACTGCTACAGTATAAAATGTTTATTTATAGTTTTAATTTAAAAAAAGGCATTTTTTTATATCTAAGAGGTAATAGAAAAAAGGGTGACCTGAGCATGAACTCGTCTATTCTTTGCCACCACAATTCTAGAATGACTAAGATTTTGGCTATCACAGCCACTAAAAACATCATTCTTCTGTGTTAAATGACCTGAAGAAAATCTTGCATCGGCTTTTATGCTTTGCGCATAACCAGAACTCAAACGACTTTCAGTAAGTGCAGTAGCAGGCGACCCACCATATGGATCACATTTCACTGCTCGATCAAAACACATATCCTCATTCAAATTATAATATTCTAAATCATTTTTTATTGTTTTCTTAGGTTCACCCCTCCCCGTTTTAATTTGTGTTCTTAATTCTAATGTTTCTACCCTTCTCACCGGAGCCTCGAAGTCTTTCTTACGCACATGCCCAAACCATCTTAATCGTGATTCTCTCATTTTCTCCTCTATGGGCCCTACCCCAACTTTAGTTCTAATACTTTCATTTCTAATCTTATCTAACCTAGTATGCCTACACATCCATCTCAACATTCTCATCTCAGCCACACGCATTTTTTGATCATTTTTATATTTAGTAACCCAACACTCGAATCCATAAAGCATCGTATCGATAGAACTCCAACACTCGAATCCATAAAGCATCGTATCGATAGAACTTGCCAAACTCACTGGTACTTTACAATCACAAAGTACTGATGACGCGCTCCTCCACTTGTTCCAACCCGATTGAATTCGAAAAAAAAAAAAAAAACTCTGATTGACATCTCTCGACAGCTTGAATATTCTCTTTTACATGGTGAAGGTAGTCATGTATCTGCCCACACAATCGCAGCATTAAAAACAATAAGCAGATCGTATTAATTACGTCTTCCTTACACACACTAGCCCGCATTTTTTGCAAAATAAGTTGGTGCCCCACAACTATTCCATAATTACGCCATCGAGAACCTACATGGGTCGTCATAACTTGAAACATGGTACATACTTACAATTCTTCCCAATGACCCCACGTATGAAGCGATATTAGAACATACAAATTACTTGAAACAGAACATAAGCTCTATGCAACCTATCGTAATAATCTGCTCGCATTTGATAGACTTATCATTCTGAAACATGTATGTTTATCAGAAGCTACTATAACTAACCTTAGACTAATGATCGACACCATACCTGAAATCGGACAAGCACCGTTTAAAACAGAATTGAAGAATGCTTCAGTATTGTGAAAAACAAGAGAATGGTCACTAATCAAAGGAATCAAGACCACTTTCATTCAGCTCATCAGTTTTTTTCTTTCTCAGAGAAAGCATAAATTCAAACAGAATTTGGAGATTTGTCCCGGCTTAATGTTGCTCCATTTTCTGTTTCTTCTCTGAAATAAGAGACAATAGGCTGCTGGCATCCTTCACTGATGTTTCACATCCCTGTTGAAATATCATATAACCATACAAAGGTAAATAAACATGATTTAAATGCACATAGAAGTTTGAAACTAAAATCACTATAAACAAGTGCTTTAACGAGCTAAATCATTGGCTCGACTGAATAAGAGGTGTTATATGAAAAAAAAGACTAGCTGGCCACTTGCCAGATTGTTGGGGATCCAGTTGACGAGCAAGAGTGACTTTTTGGGGAAAATTTTAGATTTTCGGCGAGACGAGAGTCGGAAAGTCTCGGGTGGCGGTGGATGGCGAGGGCCGAGTGTGGCGGACGGCGTGCGACTAAGGTGATTGAGATTATTTGTGAACGACGTCTTACAGAATTGGGAAATCAAACCCAAAGGTAGTATGGGAGGCTTGAATCTGATATGGCTTTCAAGAATTGGGAAATCAAACCTGCAAAAGGAAAATGAGAAGGAGAACTACAGACAGCCATTATCTAATAGAACCAACAACGATGGAATCAAAATCGAAAGCACAGCGATTTCTATCAGGTTAAGTGCGGCGGACGGCAGACGGCGGGTAGGGCTTGGAGGATTTCAGTTTTGGGCGTGAGATGTACGAGAGTTGGGAGTGAACAGTGAACTATTGCCTGAGACCATTGGAGGTGTAAAGTGAAAAAAAGTATCATGTTATTAATGTCTTTATATGAAAATTATTATCTATACGTTTTTTAGAATGCATTTTTGTATATAAATTATATAATAATGCAATGATCATGATCATAAGACATATAAACATATAATTAAACTGAAAAGATCATATATTATTGAACACTTCCCTATATACAACATTATTGGTTTGATTCTTTGGCATGTCATCTTCACCACAAATTAAGATTTTCAAACATTTTCGGTAAGTGACATGTGAGACAACAACATATAACTGGTCATGACTGAACACTGGTTTCTTAAGAAATAAGCAAACATGAGATAAAGATTGTCCCTGTCTCTTATTTATAGTCATGGCGCAAGTAACCATAATGGGAAATTGCCTCTGTTGGAACTTGAAAGGAATTCTAACATCATAAGGAGTTATGGCCATTCTTGGAATCAACACCTTATCACCAGCATGATCTCCTGTGAGTATCTTACACTCAAGAACATGACTGGATAGCTTTGTCACAACCAATCATGTCCCATTACACAAACTCATAAAATGATCCATGTTCCGCAACAACATGACCGGAGTTCCAATTTTCAAATACAACTCATGGTTCGGTATTCCGGAACACTTGATGCTATTAAAAAACTCAGGCGTATGGAGTTCAGACAAAAAATCATTATTAGAATCCGATTTGCATGTACTGTCAGAACTCAAGTACATACGACCATCCAACAAATTCAATGATGTCATGTACTCACTGATAGACTCGGCTACATCCAACGTCGGCGCTTTTATTCAAATTTCAAATCAACTCCCAGTTTTTCAAAGAATTTAAAAAAAAGTTATCAATTGTAGTAAAATCTAAAATTTTAGGCGAGAACTTTTTTTCAACTTAAGTAAATCCCTATTGTTATTTTATAGTATTAGATTGAATTTCCAAAAGAATTAAGTCAAAGGTCTTGACTCAAATTTTTTATCAAGTTTCTATAAATGATTTTTTAATCAACCTCTTTCAATATATATGTAGATACAGATATATATATATATATATATATATATATATAGATATATAAGTACATATATAGTACTCCCTCCTTTTTTTAATAAATAATAAATAATCAATTTTACCAAGAATGTTTAAATAACTTATAACGAAACTTGTTTTATATGGCTTGATATTACATTTACATTGATATATTTTGATCTCCTACAATCATGCTCCCTAAGTAACTAATAAATTAGATACCTTTGATGTATATATTTCACATGTGACCTTTCAATTCGGAAAGAATCAATTGACATTATCCTCATCCACAATTCAACATCATCCTCCCGGTTTTTTTATTAAGAAATTGATTCGAATATTGCTTTTAAAATCTCATTGTTTTTTACTCAAATTGCACGTGTTTTTTAACAAATTTTCCTAAATTAGTAAGTCAAACAAATTAATTAATAAGTCAAGCATTCTATTTAAGTATTTTTCGAACAACCTTTTTATATATATTAAAAAGAATCATTATTTACTCCTGAAAATGAAGCCGATTTTCCTACCAATAAACTGATTTTTTATCAAACAAATTGATCCGAATATATTTTTAAACCAAAAAAAATCATCAATTTTTCCTAAAAATGCAACCGAATTTTCCTAACACTGCACCGATTTTTTTACCAAACAAATTGAATTGAAAATAATTTTAATAAAAAAATGGAACAATTTGTTAATGTTTATGTAACTGTCTCTTTCCTAAAGAAAATGATATGAACTTAACAAAAAAAAAAATGATATGAACTTACCAAAATCTCGGTAAAACATGGTTAAGAAAAAACATAAGAATCCAAAAAAATCGATGCATTTAAAATTTGAAAAGTTGCACACAATTTTTTCTAAATAATTGGATAAGGTGACTTTAAATATCAAAGATGAATCGCTTTTGTTACCAAAAATGTGGACACAATTTTGAATGTACATCCCGTCCAAATATCAGTTTTATTCTAAAATTAAAATTTCACGTGGTTTTATCCAATTTACACACTTTTTTTTAAAGAAAAAATTATTCAATAAGATTGGAAGAATTGGTTAAGAATTATACAACTATTTGTTTCCTAAATTCGTATCCAATTTGTACGGTTTTTAAGTTAATTTGTATTTAGAATTATTTTCATAAATAATTGACACATTTTTTGCATAAGAATCTCCAAATTTATTACCAAAATATATGATTTAAATTTTGGTAAAAAAAAAAATATATATATGATGCGAAAAAAATGAGATTCAAATTTTGGCATAAGAATCTCCAAATTAGTTACCAAAAAAATAGGATTAAGATTTTGTTACTAAAGATTCACATGTATTTTTTTGAACTTTCCATTTATAGTAAGTCAATTGTTTTATTTATTAGGTCAAACTTTCTATTAATGTATTTTTCCAACAACCTCTTTATATATATATAGATTTAATTATGATTCAATTTTTTGTGAGGTGGTCAAGCTCACTGTTTGAAATGAGAAAGTGCTGGTATGACTCAGAAAAAAAAGGTCCCAAGATCTCTAGATAGTGGGAAAACAACTAAAGATTGATATATTAAGGAGATATGCTTGTTAACTTGTTATTGAGATATTGATGCTATTAAAAGACTAGTTTAATTTATTAAAATTTTAAAAATTAGTTTAACATAAAACAAAAAGACTTGTTCAATATCAACCAGAATGAAAGAAAGTGCATTGTATGTAGTATTTTGCTGATGTTATTTCTACTGTCAACATTTATATTAAGGGAATTATTTATCCAATTATGTACAAGCACGTGGCACAAACATTTTAGTATTCACATTCATATACCGGAGATACTCTAATTAATTATTAACATGACACATCTGTTAACTGATAATCGGTGCAATATGACACATCGGTTCATTAAAACTGACTTGTTAAATAATACTTAGCACATCGGTTATGGAAATATTCACGGAAATAACTACCAAAAAGAAAAAAAATAATGTTGGCCAATGTAACCCTGGTCGCTTGTTGCTTGGGAATGGGACACTTATCTCATTTCTATTGGACAAATATATTTTTTTGTGTTAAAAAAATAATCAAAAATACTAAAATTCATATTATTTCATTCTCTATAAATATAAACTATATTTGATAGGTTTTGAAACACAATTACAATTTTTTTAAATAAAATAAAAATAAAATAAATATTTTAGGTTCGATTGGGTTGGGTTGGGTTGTGTTTGAGATAAAAGATAATTTGAGTTGTAACGTTGGGATGTGCAAGTGGAGGAGAGAGAAATAATTTTTAATTATTAGATTTTGTTGAGTTGAGTTGAGGATAAAGATGGTCTAACAAAACTGATATCACATCAAGTAATTTATTTACAATAATACTATCGCGTCATATGTTACATTGTTTTTGAAAAAACAATGTAACTACCCTGTTATAACAAGTGTTTTTTCTATTAGTGAGATGACCACGAAAAACCCAATATATGTACCAACAATA